CACACACACACACACACACACACACACACCACAGACTGACTTCTGTACCTCATATCTATGACTTGGCTGACTATCACACTTGGTTGTATTGCTTTTCCTTCTCCAAGTTCATAAAGGAACAGTTTGAAGTCACACACCACAGCCATCGCCCTCTGCCAACCCTTCTTCACCCCTGAGGGTTTGGGTACCTGAAAGAAACAAATGATAAAATGCTTAAATCAAATATAGATCTGTTGTTGCCCTGCTGCTGCTACAAACATAGTGTTTATAAACTGGTTTCATCGTGTCACTCTGAGGCATACTCACCCTCACATGACCTTCATACGCAGTCCCAATCCCCCTCTGTGGATCGATGCCCAGCGGACCCTTGGTTTGATCCTGGGGCACTGGACAAACAGCTGGAGCTTTGTCCGCACACGTGACATGGCAGGAGAAATTACACACTGGACACATAAAACACAGAGATAGACAGACGAAAAGGCTTCAGAACCAGTCAATATTTAAAACATTTAAAAACTTTCTCCTTTTCCTACCTTCACATGTACAACCCTGTCGAATGAGCCCCACCATGAGAGAGGTGCACTGGTTACACTTTGTGGGTGTGGTGAAAGACTTCACAACAAACTGATGAGCTTTGGGCTGTAAGAAGARACAACAACACTCAGTCATTACCAAACTGATTTTCAGCAGAGAAGAAGTTCTTAGGGGAAAATCACAGAACCTTGGGTGAAGAACGTCCAATACTGCCATACCCTCCTGGGCGCATGGTGGGGGTCTGTACTGTACGGGCTGGGTGGTCTATCAACTGCAGAACAAAACAGACAAAAAAACCTGAGCAGGGTAAGTCACCCTCTCTGGAAGCAGATTCAAGAACATTTTGAGAATTTTCATTTTCTGGTTTCAGTGTCTATCTGAAACTAAATTATCTGCAATTCATGATGGATGACCAAATCAGCAGCAGCAGCTCTGTGAACTGCAGTTTCAGCTAAACACATAATGGATCATTTAAATATCTGAGTGTGTTTCATTCTTGTTGAACAACATGCCAAACATTGTAGTGAAATGACCAAATCATTCTTGTCAACTTCAAATTTTTTAAATGCCAATCTTAAGAAGGTAATTAAAAGAAAATGTCCTTAGCTTGGCTGGYACAGCCAAGGAGGTGGTTTAGCTGCTCTAATTGTTTGATAAAATAAAATAAAAAAGTTTTGGTAAAATATATTATTTTCTGACCTCTATGGGCTCCATGTCGCTGGCCATGGAAGGTGAACGTGAACGGGACTTGAGGTGGGACTTGTGGTCGTCGTCCCGTGACGGAGTGTTAGAAGGGGTGAAGTTATTCATAGTGTCCATAGAGTCCAACTAACAACAACAACAACAAGACAAGTGTGAGGAGGAGACAGTGTGGATACAGGAAAAAGACAAAAAGGGGAAGATGATGAGAAGATGTAAGAAATGAACAAAGAATAGAGAAAGTTGAAGAAATGAAGCAAAACTACACAAACAGTTAGCCAAGTAAAATGAACTGATTAGAAACATGCAGCATTCATGCTTGAAGTAAGACGGTGCGTTGTAACCCTCTACACTCCACCCCAGCTCCTTTTCTATTTAGTTGCCTTCCAACTCGAAGAAATAATTCAATTCAACTCCCTTTTAACAGGAAGAAACCTCCAAAAACCAGAACCAGGCTCAGGATGGACAGCCATTTGCCTCGACTGGAGAGGGTTTCAGAGGGCACGAAAGAGACAGAAAAAACACAAAATGACCAGCTCAGGTGTAGATTCAATAAATAAGTAATAAACYTACACAAAAATATTCTAAATTAATGTAATTAAATTGTAAATATCCTGCAAATTGAGGTGTGCATTTATATCCTKCAAACTGAGCAACCTTTTGAAACAATTTCAGCAGAAAATCTCTTTTTAACTTTGTCTCCATGATGCTGGTCCATCTACCCACTGGAGCTTTTGTCTTTTCTTCATGACTGAATTGGATGGATGGGTGATGGTTGTTTTCAAAAATCCTTAAATCAAACCACAGATTCTCTATTGGATTGAGATCTGAGATACAACTGAACCATTCCAGGACATTTACAGTACATGGTTCTCCTTAAACTCCTGGAGTGTTGCTTCAGAGTTTAGGCATTGGGCCTCATGCAAGAACACGTTCGTATTTTTATCCTAAATTTCTCTTACTTTTGTTCGTACAAAGGGTTCGTACGAACATGTCACGTCAGATTCAACAAACACTTCTATCGTCAGGAAAAGTGCGTAAATGAGCTGCGTAAATTCCACCTGTTCATATCCAACTGCTCGTGCACGCGAGAGGAGATTAGCATAATTACCACCCCAAAAACACCATATAAGGCTGTGATTCCTGCCTCAGATATCAGGAAGTGTCCATTCATGAAAATGACAGCGAAAACTTAAAAGAAAAACTTTACGAGTTCAGAGTTCATCTGTCTTTTTTAGCAGCTCAGCTGTGGGATAAAAAGAGCTGCTAAAAGTATAAACAACTGTGTTAAATC